GGAATGTAAAGATAAAGGCTTTCTGTGGGAGAAAGAAAGGCAGACCTACTGTAAGCAGCCACACACAGGGTAATATTAGCCATGAAAGTCCCAAACTCCACAGTTTTTGTATTTCCACTGGGACAGACCTTTGTGTCTAAAAGGCATAGGGATTCCTGACCATGAAAATGGAACTGGTTACAGTGGGTGCAGGAGGCAATGGTATCTCCTTCCTCCACAGCATCCAATTCCAGCCTCTGATTGCCCAAACCCTGTGCAAACACCCAGTGAAGACAGTGTGTAGGTGACTCTTGTGTAGGTGACTCTAGAGGAGCAAGCCCAGGTATAGAAGGCAGCACAAGGATGTACCAGGGAAGCACGGAGGCCAGTGAAAGCCAAACATGCACTCGGGCATCTGTGTGCTGTACTGGGTCTGAGCTGCAGGCTCCCCCAGACTAGTCACATTTTGATATTCACCTGCAGGTCTCACCCAGGCTGTTTTAAGGAATATTTAATTTATTCTCCTAACTGCCCAAAATTCATTTCTATCAGCCAAACCGTATCACATGCAGTTCCACATCTGTGAAGCTGTGGGAAGCAGGCCTGTTGGATAAATCCTCAGATTATTTAAAGTATTCCAGCAGTGATGTTAAAATATATGCATGAATCCTGAGTCATTTGCATCCTGACCACTCCAGGTGCCTGAATTATCTTCTTTCCTCCAGACCTAGCCATGTTCCTGAGCAGCTGATATAATTACATATCACACATTGCTTAATGAAAATCTTACTGCCTAATCTGCCCATTACCTATTTTTTTGCCTGTTATTTTTTTTTCCCTTTAATTTATATGTTTCTTTATTACTTATTTTTAGCTGATCAGAAACTGAGCTGTGGGTAATTTAAAAAATGCTGTCTGGTCTGCATTGATAACTTTCATTGTCTTCTGAACTTTCCAGAAGTCAATATGGCTCTGTGCTTTGAAATTGAAGACTTTCCATAGAGATATCTTAGCACTTAAAAGTCTTCCAGTCAAACTCCATCCTGAGTTCCACTGAGGATATGCAACATCCAGAAATTAACAACTTACAGGACCATAGACCTCCTTCCAGTTTAGGTCCTCACATTGTTGCTGAAGAAACACTAAGTAAATACTGATGGAGCAAGGATTAAGATCTGGACTGTGCTGTCCAGTGACTGCAAAGTTGGTGTGAATATAGCTGGGTAAATTATGAACCCATCAGAAGGGTCTCTTTTGTCACTGAGGGAATGCTTTGTACATGCAGCCAAACCTGGATGACTTCAGCAGCTACTGAAATTCAGCCAATTTAATGCCAGTTCAGAATTGAAGTTTTTTTTGCTTCAGTCTTCATCTCCCCTGGGATGCACTGCTATTTTTGAAGTGCTCTGACTGCTGTATCACTAATTCATCATCACCACAGCTCTGCCCCGACCCGGTTCTCTTACTTACAGGCAGTATCAACTTTGGGATCTGCTTTTTCATGGAAACAATTATAGAGCACTGAAACAGCATTTAAAGCAATGCATCAATTTACCAAATGGTAATTGTATGCAGCTTTTAAATTAGTGCTCTTAATTCAAAATTTAACACATTTGCACTTTTGCATAAAGTGCTGCCCCAATTCATCACAATTAAAACTGTTTATTACACTGCGAATTGCTTACTTCAGGGTAGTAATCAGTGGTAGGTATCAGATGCTGGATTAGAGCATCCAGAGATGCTGAGGTAAGGTTTCCATCCTGGAAGATCAGTCCTCCTTGTTCATCTTCTTTTGAAGTATGTAGATGAGGGCTGAAGCCACATGGGGTAAACATACTGGTAGAACTCAGCGTTTGGGGCATGCCTTCCTGCAACAGAGAGAAGCTCATGTCAGGGACAAGATCCATCAGATTCAAAGCCACATCTGTCTTCTGGCTCATTGGGAAAACACATGCCACTAATGAGAGCTTCCTGTTCACAAAATTAACATGATCCTTTCATTATATCCTCTTTTATTGTTGTCATTGGCAGATCATGCCCCAACAGGAAATACACAGGAAAATGGGACATTCTGATTTATGCTTTTGGGCTCCCACCCTGAGCAGGAGCTTTTTGATACTGGTCAGTCCCATGTAGGAGAGGCAAGATGCTTGGGACCTGATTTCAGCAGGTTCCTGAGCAGAACGGAGCTGTTTGTTTGAACCTCTGTCCCCTTGAGCAGGGAGCCTTTAGGGTGAGAGAGAGAGAGAGAGAAAGAAATGGGGTGCCATCTAAGGCTTGCTCAAGGTGGAGCTTGGGAAACATTCTGTGGCTCCCCTGGACAGAAGAGGCATCAGAGTGAGTGAGGGAGTAGGAGCAGAAGTCAACTGGAACAGGATGGAAAAATGAAAGGAGTTGGAGGGAACAGAGAACGTGGGAGCTGAAGAAGAGATTAAAGAGCAAAGAAAAGAGACACGAGGAAGAGGGAGAAGGCAGACACCTGCACTATTTTTGGAGCCTGAAGTTAGTCAGTCCTAGATCTATACTTAGGCACTAAATAAATGTTTCAAAAAGATCCTCAGCACTCATTGACTTCACTAGAGATGCAGACTCCTCAGCACCTTTGAAAAGGAGGCCAGGCAGATTCAGAGCATGTAGCCCAATTTCAAGCTTCCCTGTATTTCAGTTCTCTGCTCTCTGGGTTTCATTCCAGGCTCCATCTCATTTTGTGGCTCACAATCAGCATAAATTCTGATGAGCAAAGTTGGTTTGTTTCTGAACTGATGCAAGGGGGTGACAGATTTTGCTCTGAGACCTCTAAAGCATCTCCAGCTGCCTCTGAAATCCCACCTAGAAGCTGCTTCACTCTCAACAAGAGGCAGGATGGGGACTGGGAAAAGAGCAGTGCATGCTCACTTCCGGGCCAGCAAAGTGACCCCTCTGTGACCTATTTGCTTCCAAATTTGATTTTACTTGATGTGAGGGAGGATGGGAAAGAGATGATGGAAGGGAGGAGTCCTAGAGCCAACCTGTACTCTCCCTTGAGCAGCTAGAAAACATCTCCTAGGACTCCAGCTCACCCTCCTGAGCACCTCTTCCTGCTGGAAGAGCAAGATCTGCCCCCTGCAGCCTCCTGTGCCTCAGCCTGCTGCTGCTCAGGCACGGGCACTCAGCCCACACACCTTACTTGCCAGTTTATTTCTCCACCCTGTTCTTTACCCGGTTCTGTCTGGTTTTCTGCCTCTTCACTATCCCACACAATTTCAAAAGCTGCCCCATGGATTTGGCTTAAAAACCTGGGCTTGTTTCTCCCTGGCATACATCAATAAATGTGCTGTGACCCAAGAGAGTCAGCTCAGGTTTAGTTACAGACCCAGGGTGCTGTATTTGCTCCTGCAAAAGTACCTTTCAGCCTGGCACAGCCCATCTGCTCCCCCCAGCTCAGGCTGCTGCAACTTGCCAACTCAGAGCAATCTTGGGCCAGCAAGGATGAGAAGGGCAGCATGGCTGTAAGCCAGGCAGGGTGTGAAGCTCTGGGAGAGGCTGGGAGCTGGGTCCCAGCACCGTGGGAGATCAGGCTTTACAAGCAAAACTTGGGTGACTTCATCCTTCAAAGGAGGGACCGTGTCCCAGGAGCCAGCGGTTTGGTTACTGCATCTTATCTCCTGGGAGGCTCAGATGGGCTGGGAGCACAGGCTGCCCCTGGGACTTGCAATCAAATAAAAAGGAACCAAAACATCAAATCCAACACATTCCTGCCTTGACTGGAAAACAAAATAGATGTCAGAGATTTTACTTTAGTAAAGACCAGAATATCTGAATGTCATCTGAATGAAAGTTGAAGCATCTAGTTTTAATGAACGTGCAGATGTGTCTGTTAATAAGGCTCTGAGAGCAAGTAATTGCTGCTTTTTGTACACAGCCCAGACTGTGTAGTAAAGGAGAGAGACTGCCAAGTCCCATTTGGTACTTCTAACACGCTCTATGTTACGTCTTGTTTCTATGGCAATAATCCCAAGAAGGATTTAATGTCCACAAAGATCAATAAATAAATCTTGTGGACATACAGCTGTCTAGATGAGGAAAAGAAAAAGTTAGAACATCTGTGAACTTACAGGACACATCCTAGCTTCAGTGTAAAACTGAACTCAAAGTAATAATTTATTCTGTGCAATCCCTAAGTGTCAAGGCCATTTTTATTATCAAATAGAAACATATCTAAACAGGATATTGCCTGAACTTTCCGATCTCATTACACGAGCAATCTTGCCAAAACACATTGTAATGCTTCTTCAGAAAAAGTTAACATTTAAAAAAACCAAAACAAACAAATAGAACCAGCTGTACAGCTGTCACTGAGACATTCATCTTGAGTATTGCTGAGAAATTACCTTTGGCTTTTTACTGTGAAGTTCCTGGTCTAATTTCAAGTTTTTGAGCAAGACCTGTGTCACATGTGAACGGGTGCCTGGTTGCCACCTTACTTCCCACTGAAGAAGACCTGAAGGTTTTAACTTCATGCCTTTTTGCTCACTGCTGATTGATACCATTACATTCACAGCAAGATGTGGCCAACTAGTACAGAGACTAAAAACCTCTTGCACTACTAAGTACGATAACTGACATGAGACAGAAATTTAGGACAGGGACTTCTCTGCCCACAGTACCTCACTTCTTTTTCTGTTCATGTAGTTTACATAATCTTTTCAAAAGCACTAAATAGAACCAAAATCTTGCCTTGAAACAGTCCAAATACGTGATGGCCTGCAGAGGCAGAAGACAAGGTTATGCTGCCAGTGACTTGCAGAATACAGGGACAAGGGAAGCACTGAGAAAGGAAACCAACCAGCCTCAAGGAGTCTCTCAAGGAGTCTTACTGAACTGATGGTGCTTTGGGAATGAAAAATGTAGGCAACACAGACAGAGCTGGACCCTCCTCCAGAGAGCACAGTAAAAGGATGAGGCAGCACTCCCAGGCTGCAGAAAGGAAATTCCAGTTGAATCTAAGAGAAAATCCTCCCCTGAGCACTACATGAAACTGGAAGAGGGTCCTAGCCAGGACTGCTAAGTATTCCAACACAGTGATGAAAACAAGCAATCCACAGGCACTTCTCACAATGAATTATGCTGCTTACAAACCAATATTTAAGGACTTGATTCACTGGGACAAAGCATGAGACCAAACAATCACCAATACTTGGCAGAAACATAACCCACAAACTCTGCCCCTATCAAAAACCACAAATGCCTTAAAACCTCTGGAAATACAGTGCCCAAACATGGAAGACTGAGCTGGGAATAGCTTAAAGAAAGCACTGCCTGACCATGCACATAACATAGGCCTACCAATCTGCAGCAAGAGAGGTCTGATGAGCTGGAGGATGGCAAACAGGCTGCCAGCCCTGCATTCCTGGTGCCAGCCAGGTGACCTGCAGCAAAGCCACGGGGGTAAACACCCCACCAACATTCCTCAACTCCAACTCCTGCTGTTACAAACGTCCCCATGGCAAGTACAGATAATGCTTATGTGGACACAAAATGTTCAGGAAACATTCAATGTGTTTCTCAGCAGCTTTGATGTGATAAGTGTTTTATCCTTTTATCAAAAACTTAATCACACTGTTTACTTTTGATCTTCATTTCATCTCTGCCTTCCATCTGCTCTGCCTCTCTCAAGGGGAAACAAGAGCTGTTACCATGTGATGAATGGAGCAGGGCTGCAGACTTGACTTCCCACCCACTTAACTTTCAGATTATCAAAATAAATAAAAACCTTCCCACTTCAGGAGTGAAAGGCCCAAGCTTTTGACAATCTCCCACCAGAATTACAGGAGCTAGAGAGGATGGCAAGGGAAGGTGTGGAGGCTGGGGTGTCCAGCTGTGCCATGAGGGTGGCTCCCATTTCACTTGCTATGCTGACCATGATGGTGGGATCCTCTTTGCAAGAACTTAGGACATGCAAGTTAGTGCTTTATGAGCATGAGCAGGGGATAATCTCAGGGGTATGGGAGACTCAAGGTCAAGCAATTTGGCAAGGCACAGACTTCAACAAATATACCTAATCTGGACAGAGTTGGACTTGCTCTTACTTCCATCTGGGAACAGAGGTGGGACACATAGAATCATAAAGGTTGGAAAAGACCTTCAAGATTATCAAATTGAACTGTCAGCCCTACACCATTTCCTGCAGCACTATGTCTACCCACTTTCTGACTACCTCCAGGGATGGTGCCTCCACCAGCTCCCTGGACAGCCTGTTCCAAGGCCTCACCACTCTTTCTGTGAAGAAATCTTTTCTAATACCCAATCTGAACCTCCCCTAACACAACTTGACCCTATTTCCTCTTGCCCTGTCGCTGGTCACCAGGGTGGAGTGGCCAACACCCACCTCACTACAACCTCCTTTCAGGTAGTTATAGAAAACAATGAGGTCTGTCCTCAGCCTCCTCTTCTCCAGGCTGAACAGCCCCAGTTCCCTCAGCCTCTCCTTGTAAGACCTGTTCTCCAGACCCCTAATCAGCTTCATTGCCTTTCTCTGCACCATCTCCAGTGCCTTGATGTCCTTCCTATAATGCAGCACCCAAAACTGCACACAGTGCTCGAGGTGCAGCCTCACCAAGGCAGAGTAGAGAGGGCAGGATCACCTCCGTGGTCCTGCTGGTCATGCTATTCTTGATGCAGGCCAGGATGCCCTTGGCCTTCTTGGCCATCTCCCATCTTATCTTGATCCTACAAAAGTCTTTATTGATCCAACTTTCACCAAAACCAGACAATTCAAGGAAGGGAAAATAGTTCACAAAGAAATATTTTGGAAAAACATCTTGAAGAATTCCTTGCCAGCTTTAGAAACCAAACCTATTCTCACTAATCCCTCTATTGTGAA